GTACTGTTTGTCCACGTTGTGCAGTTATAGTCATATGTACTAAAACAACCATTTTCTCCTTTTGCGCCACCCAGCCACGAGCCTTTACAGACACCCGAGATGACCTGTCGTTAGGTCACGTGGTGGTCCTCCTGCAGTACGACTGGCCACAGGGCGAGGTGCTCTTTCTAAAAGCCGTGGATAAGATCTGTCTTCAAGGCGGTTTCCAGTATGAGAATTTCTTCAACTATGTCACCAGTATCCTGCCTTACAGATTCTTTATTGTCCTTGCAAACGTAATCTGGATCCATTTTCTCAATGTTGTATTTATTCCCTGTCTTACCGATAAATGATTGATCCTGTGCCAAAATGGAAAAAAACAATTTTTGTGTTTTAGATGACATTTTGGGATAAAATATCTGTCAAACAAGGTTATGTCCTTACGCAGACAGAAAGAAAGTAAATTAAGCAATTTTTGTTTTGCTGTCAAATGACAAAATGAGTCAAATTTGACCTGAATAGGTTGTAAGTACTGTATTTTTTGGACAATAAGGCCCCCAGAGTATAATTCACACCAGTCAAAAAATGCTACATGAAGATGATGAAAACAAATGTAAGTCACACTGGAGTATAAGTTTCATTTTTTTCGAGGGAAATTGATTTTACGAAAACCGAGACAACCCAAAATCCCCGTTCACTCAACGTGGCAGCGTTTGGAAATTAATTTGACCGGTCACAAATTTATATCATTGTTCAAATGTGCCAAAATCATAGCAGCACCACACCCCGTGTGCTCTCTTGTCATGGATGTTACCCTCCTTGAGCTCATATCCTTTGTCAGACATCGACATGCTGGAGGAGTTTGCTTACCTGCGAACTCCTGACGGCGGCAGGATCCAGCTGGAGCTGCTACCCAATCAGGGAATGCTGATTAAGTAAGTGCTTCACATTCAATCAGTCAGCATCCGGTCTGGCATACCCCAGGCTTTGTTGGTTTGTTGTTCAGAAAGAAGGTCAACTTGATGATCAGTTTGTGGAGGACTTAACCCACAAAGATGCTGTCATAGGAGCGGGCTTTAAAAAGAGAAGGGTTGTACAGTATCTCATAAAAGTGTGGGACACCCCTTACATTTTTGGGAATATATTTTTTTAGGGGGCAACACAGGAGAAATGATATTTCACTATGTAGAAAGTAGTGAGTCGAGATGAACTATCACCGCAAAAATAACTCAACACGTAACCATCAATGTCGAAACCACTGGCAACAAAAAGTGACTACACCGAAGTGAAAATATCCATATTGGGCCAAAAGTGTTGATCATGGCCACCAATGTTTTTTTTTCCCCCATTACTACTCCAACCTTCTTGGGAATGGAGTCGACCAGAGTTTTACAGGTAGCCATTGGAATCCTTTCCACTCCTCCAGGACGCCGACTCGGAGCTTGTGAGTGGGTATTGGCAGTCTTCCTATAGCCTTGAAAGGAGGCCAGAGGTCACAAACATTTTTTGTGAGCCGCCACTTTAGTACCGAATAATGTGAAGGGTTACCAGTTAGATTGGGACTTCTGAAATACTAAATTGGCTAAAATTTGCTTTCAATACATGGCCATAATTAATGACACGATGAAGATGTGAAGGCACTGATCATTTTTATGATTTCTCACAATAATTACAGTTTGAATATTTTGAGCCACAGTCTCAAGTAAACTTTTGGAGATTTATTTCTCCCGTTGATTCCGAATCTGCCATCGTTTTTTTTCATTCGCGAATCAGGTCTTCATAATAGTAATATAATAACAGTAATATAATATGTAATATTGTAATCTATATTGTAATGTTTATGGAATTAATGGTTAGGTTCAGCAACAGGTGGAATTTTTTTTCTGAAGTGTCATAGTTATAAAATATAGAGGTAAACTCCATATTGTGCAAACTTTTGTAGGTCAGACTTCAAATTGAAAATATCTAAAAAAATCTGTAGTGCTGGGGGAAAAAATACTTCCATTTTTTGGGGGGGAAATCAGCGTCAAAAATACGTTAAAGGGCATATAATGCCATTTCTGATAAAAATTTGCTGTTGACCAGTGTAAATAATAACATGGTGAGGATGTGATGGTACTGATCGTCATAATAATTATCAACAATGATTGAAAAGGTAAGATAAGATAAGAAAAGCTTTATTAGTCTCACAATGGATACATTCCAATTCACAGCAGCAAAGTTACGAAAAGAATTAGAAGAACAAAATATAGGAGTTGCTGTAAAGGCAGCCACTCTCGCGGCACCATCTTGAAGTCAAAATAAAATAATACAACACAATACATAAGACACAGACAGTCGTGCGATCTTAACCACTTTTCTGCATCCTCTTTGTTGTATGAAGCAATTATAGATCAAAGATGAGGGATGTAGAAAAATATAAATTTTCAACTCTTTCTTTAAATCTCTTCATGTGTTTACATTTTGTAATGTTCACGTCTACAACATTTCTAAGAAATCACATTGTCTCATCACTGTTGAGTTACTTTTTGAAGAGACCTTCTTATGTAGAGTACCTAGGGCAACATGTCTTTTTCACATCTTTAGCTATTTGCCACGAGGTGACATGTTCAACTTCCAGTGACTGCTGTGAGACTATGAGAGCGATAACACGAACAACCCACACGACACCATGGATGGAAAAAATGGCTAATTGGGCCCAATATGGACAATTTCGCCTAGGGGTGTGCTCATTTTTGTTGCCAAGGTTTTAGACATGAATGGCTGTGTGTTGACTTATTTTGAGGGGAAAGGACATTTACACTGCTCTATGAGCTGCACACTGACTTCTCTCCAGTGAAGTAAAGTGTCATTTCTTCTCGATTGTCCCATGAAAAGACATAAAGTGTTGAGAACAATGCGCGGGTTGTACTTAGTTTTGTGAGATACTGTCTGTCAAATCTATCAACTTAAACTTTCAGAGTTGCAGACTTAGGATCACTGAAATGCAACCGCACTGACCGAGTGTTTGAATGTTGCTGTCCCTCAGGAACCCTAGGCCCACCCTGGGGTTGGAGTTAAACACCCTTCTGCTACAAGGGGTGCAGACGATGGACAGGTACCCCGGGCCCCTCCTACCACAGTGCCCATCCCTCCCCCAAGCACCAGTCACCATTCATTCCCAACTCCAAGGCCTGTCATACCCCCCTTCCCAGATTTTTATTTGGGCCAATCATTTAAGAACAAGTCGTCGTCGTCGTCGCCGTTTGGTTGATTTGAGCCATCGCTCGTCTTTCTGTGGTCATCACCGTTGTTAGTTAAGACGATGTCGTTCTTGTTGTACAGTTAGTTTCTTTTGGCCTTTTCACAGCACTTGGTCTCATTTCATTTGTGCTTATATTTCATGTGTACTGTCGATTGAGCTTGTTGCTTAATGGTATATAATTGATTTGGCATTCAAACATCGCTCTCTAAACGCAATGACTGTTTATCTGTGTTCTCATGTGCAGACACCACACAGTGACGAGAGGGATCACCAAAGGAGTGAAGGAGGATTTCCGTCTGGCCATGGAGAGGCAAGTGTCGCGGTGTGGGGAGAACCTGCTCAGTGTGCTGCACCGTTTCTGTATCAACGAGAAAATCATCATCGTCCAATCTCTCCCTTGACACATTCTCAAAAAGGAGGTTCAACAGGTTTTGTTTTTTGTTTTTTTTTTAACAGTAAAATGTGGAAAAAGCACTTCATAGTTACCACACTGGTATTTTGTTTTGGGGTGGGGCTTAATAATAACCATATATAGTTCCGTACTGGTGTGTTGGTTTTAACATGCATAACCACAACATTTCAAGTGGTTTTAATAGGATGTGATATTTTGTCAGAGGTTTGATAAAATAATTCCCATTTTGGTTTTCTTTGTGAGAAAAACATGAACTTGTTCTTGTCTTCTGATGCATTACCACTCCCACCATTGGGCACAAGATGGCAGCAACTAAAAATTGCATTCAAAGGAAAATGGTTAAAATGTTGGAAACGTCTATGAAAAGCCTTGTCGACAAACCCTTTGTAAATACCTTGCTGGCATTCAGAGTGAGCCACTTAAATAACCGCTTTTGGAGGTCCTTAGATTTTGCAAGTGTACTTGCCTTGGGGTGTACTTGGGTTCTTTTTATTTTGCTTTTGTGCATTTTAGATTGGCCTTAAATTGTAAATAAAGCAGTCAACAATCTTGGTGTATTATCTTGAATGAGATTTTTTTAACACACATTTTGTTGACTTAACAAAATGTTCATATATTCTTTGACAAGCAAACTGATGTGTTGTGATGTATAGTAATTTGCAACATTAACATAAAATCAATAAATACCAAATTTCACATTTTTTATTTGCCTCCTACTCATTTTTCTTTATTTTCCCAATGCAAACAACGATAGTTGCTTACTTCCACCATTTGAATGCAGAGAAGACAAAGATGTACTTTATTAAATTAGGTAGAAAATTTATGCTGGGGTGGGGCACAAATGACAGATTTTCATCAAGTTTACCAGACCCCTGCAGATAACGAAAACATTTCAAGTTGCGCAAAAAAACCCCAACACTTAAATATCCAAGAGTGCTTGAAAGCCAAAATCCAAAAGCAAGTGTCAATTTTCATCAAGAGTCACAGCCTGACCCCACAATAATTCCATTTCTATTCTTGTGGGACGGAGTTGATCAAGATTTAAAACTACGGGGTTTGGCCTCAACTCTGACAAAGTAATGGAATGAGATCAAACGGGACATATACAGACCAAGGCGTACAGTATTTTACCAAATACTGTATTGGGTTTTACTAACAAGCAGATGCAAATTCCCCATCTCATGTTAGCCCACCAATGTTTATTGGGTCATGCCTTCACACGATAGAAAATATTTCAGGTAAATTTTCTTCTCGGCGTTGCCGCCCCAAGCAACACCGCCCTGAACGGCCGCTCATGTTGCACATGCCAGAAATCACCAATGCCTCCAACATTCATTTTACAGACAAAACTGACAGAACAACTTGTCATACATTGCGTTTATTACAACTACCACAGGAATAAATACAATATTGACACATGGTTTAGTTGCACAATTGAAGCAGGGTTAATCTCCTCCCAAAATGTCTAAGGCTAATTTACATTGACAGTCCACTTGTAGGTAGAAGTTTCAAACACAAGTTTCACAAATGCCTTATTCACAAAAAGTAAAGAATATTGGGCTTTCAAGTGAAATTCCAAGATGAACCAAAAATGCACGATGAGCTTTACAAGGAGACTTAATCAGACCATGTCAAAATTTGACTGCACATGTAACCGTTGCATGTTTCAATGCACAACTTGTGCCTTCTAACAAGGATCAGAATGGCAAAATTCACGAGACGTTCAAAAGTTTTCAGGTCACCTGTAAAGGTTATAGAATTATCCTGAAATTTCATTTGAAATCCGACAATCCTGAACCTTTTGTGAGCAGTGTATTGTACGTACTGTATATATAAATCAAGGCAAGTGGTGTGTGACATAGATCAGCCTTTTATTGTGTGAGTACAGTGCAAGACTTTTCTTCATTGCACAATATTCGTTCAAATATACATGTTCAAAAAAATACAAGCACAAATAATTAGTACAGTCACACCAAAACATTTTACCCCCCCCCCCAAAAAAAATCTGCATATTCTATATGCTCATACCCAGTGGATAACAATGTGTCTAAAGAGCATAACTGGTTTTTAATTCTTAATTGGATTTGCATAGCCAAGGAAAAATCAAATCTGGGCAAAGTTTAGTTGGATTAATCTAATTATCTCGTGAGGAAATGACTGTCATTGTGCTTGGGGTGTGTGTGGAGGTGTCACAGAGAGGGAAAATGATTATTCAGCATAATGAGCTTCCTGTAGCTCCTACGCTCCAACTTCCAAGAAGAAAGTGACGCTCCCAAGGTAGCGGTCGGTGGGCGAGTCGTTGATGATGCCCTTTCCGTTCAGCTTGCACTGCACTTGGATATGAGTATCGTACTGCACTCCCGAGAAGCGCACGGCCACCACCGGAGACGAGTAGTTCACCTGACGGCCCAGATGTCAAGACATTGATTGTGTAACAAACTTTTTGAATTGATTGGTTGGTAATATGCTCTTACATGTCGGAGTTTCCCGTAGTAAGGATAGTACTTCAGGTCAAAAATACTCTTGGGGAAAAATTGGATTTCTCCCAAGGCATCTGGTGGTCCTCTCTACAGGAGACATTTGTTGAAAGAGACAATTTAATTTTCATTACTTCTTATAGTCAACCTTTCTAATGTAGAGGTTTCTCATAATTGCATTACTCTCTCAAGATACAACACACCTATTAAAAGGGGATGTTGATAGATACCTTGACTCCGCAGGTAACATTGACCGGTTTCCCTTGGCCAGGCAGGTATCCAAGAATCTAGAGGAAAAAATGTTTAATTTTTGTATATCTCACTATCATTGCCATAACACAGGGGTGTCAAACTCATTTTTGTTGCGGGCCACATTGTAGTTACGGTTTCCCTTGGTGGGTCGTTATGAATTTTGGGAAACCATCTAAATCTTTAATCACCTCCACATATTACATACACAGCGCACAATAAATTGATGGATAGACACTAGTTTTAAAATCAGAAGTCAAGAATAATGACTGACTTATTGTGGATTACATATGACAATTTGAAATTTTGGTTCTGTAAGCATCATGGAACTTGACCGACTTGATTTGCTTTTGCAGGCCATGTAAAATGATGTGGCGGGTCAGATCTGGCCCCCCGGGCCTTGACTTTGATAGTACAGTATACCATAACAGAACTCCTCTCCTTCCTTTTTCATCTCAACAGTCTTTTTTATAGCAACACTGTCACCTAGCGTACAGTTAGAGAACATAACACATTTCATCCGTCCATTCATTTTCTGTACTGTAGCTTGTTCTCATTCGAGCAGCAGCTTTGGTTTTTGGAATTTGGGAGGAAGCTGAAGAAAATCCATTTCGGCAAGAACACGCAAACTTCATGCACTTCTCGATTGTGAGGCAGACGTGCTAACCCAGGGGTGTCAAACTCATTTCACATGGTGGGCCACATACGGCCTCGGTAGATGTCAAGTGGGCCCGACCATTAAAATGATACCATACTTTGCTATAAATAACCAAAACAATATGTCTTTCTTTTGTTTTGGTATAAAGAAGCACAAGAACATTAGGAAAATGTTGAAATTTAACGAACATATCTTTTACAAAATATTTCATGAACCACCTTACATTTCCTTCGACAAATGTGCAATTTACTTTTATCATTCACATATATGCATTGCAACTGATCCCACTGATTGTACAAACTTTAACAAGTAATTGGTATTGAAAAATACAGTAATGCACTTTAAGATTAAACAAGATTTATGAACAAAGGAAGTTTTGAACCATGTACACATGCATATAAAATCTAAAGGTAATCCCTGCCTACATCTTACAAACTAAGGAGAGTGCTATTAAATGTGTAAATGTGAAAGTGCTATTGAAAGCGTCTGCTGTCATGGGTCTGTCTCAGTGACGGACTGAGGCTGCTGTTGTCTTCTTCTCTGATCAAAACAGTGTCCCCTTGCGGATACTCAATGAATTGCACCTTATTAAAAATATTAATTCTGTGTCTTTAATAATGCATTTTTTTTTCACTTTTAAATTATCCTGCGGGCCTGATTGAACCTCCTTGCGGGCCGGTTCCGGCCCGCGGGTCGTATGTTTGACAACCCTGCTTTACATAATCATCTCGCGGGCCGGATTAACCTCCTTTGCGGGCCGGATCCGGCCCGCGGGTCGTATGTTTGACACCACTGTGCTAACCCCTCATTATCGGTTGCTATTAAAATCACAATCTCAATCTATTCGCTGCATGGTTAAAGCAATATCGAAAATCTGTAATTGACCCCCCCCCCGAAAAGATTTGTAATTGCCTTTAGCTGCATGAACTCCTTAACTCTCTTCAACATGCAGTAGTTCCATGGCACCAAGATGCCAGCAAAGCACTAGTCTTGTATAAATGAAGTTCCTCAATTCACTTCAGCATAAGTTCCTTGGCTCCAAGTTATCACAAGATGGCAACCAAGTAATTCTTTCATTGCCATCCTCAAAAGGCTTTTTTCCTCTACCTTAAATGGCCACAAGGTGACACTATATAACATAATACCTTTGTATCACTGCCCGCCCAAAAAAAGAAAGAAAGTCCGATTCTTTCCTCTTACCCTGTTCATTCGCAGGAGTATACACGGCCTCCCCTGCGAGTAGCCGTAGTGGGGGTCCTGCAGGCCCGAACACTCCCCCAGCCAGGACCTCTTGAACTGGCACGCTTTCCTCTCTGCGTCCTCCTCCAAGTCTTCCTGCATGAAGTACCTGTCCTGTGTGCAGCGGATGTTCTTCCTCTCCTGTGCGCCATCATTGTAGGCTAAGGGGGGTGAAATAGGGGGATCGGGGCTTGAATAAATCGTTGCAATAGCTCTTCCTTGCCAAGGCCTCTGATTAAGGCAGCGTGAATGAATACAAGAAAAGGTGGGGGGTGGGGGGGCACACATACACACAAAGAGGTTTCCCTTCCCAGCATGCAATGCCGGAGCAAAAGAGACTACGGGACAAAGGTACTGATGAGGATCCGTGAACTGGGTTTAACCCATGCCAGCCTCCCGAGTGTGACAAACTCACGTCGTAAGTGTTCATCCATGGAGCGGGCGTAGCGCTTCCACGATTTGCGGTCAGAGGCATTGAAGGAGATGTCGTGACCTTCCAGGTGTGGCGCCATGGTCATACCTGCCAGTGGAGACCCACAGACAGTCAACTGTGACAAGACACGAGGGGTGACCGACAGGGAGAAGGAGAGCCGGTGGGGGCTGAAGGCTTGAAAGACCGAGTGTGAAATCTGAAGCCTAATAAGTTTGCACACTTTTTCCACCAGGGATCATCTCAAAAAATACTTGGCTCTCCAAATACCTCCATAATGACCAACATTAAAGTACTGGAACATAGTAGGTGTAATTATACCTTGAAAAAAAATGAGAGGTTTTACTGCTAGAAAGTATTATTGTAGATCATTGTAAAAGTATGCACCGTTTGAACACGCACTGCACTTACTAAAGGGGAAAACCAACAGAATTAAATAGTTTCATTCAATATTGCAAATTAAATAAAATAACAGTTGTACATTCAATAAAAATTTTAACGCGAACTGTTAAAATTGAGTGCTTTGAAGTGAAATGAAACTGAACTGTACTTGAAAAAATATACTTGAAAAGTAAAAACTATCCTGTATTGGATTATATTTTTTTCCCGCCAAACAGTCTATATGCATCTCGCTGCAAGCTTTATTTTAACCTTTGATTGTATTTAATGTTTCAAATGTAAAATTTATCTTGACTTAATTTAATGCTTCTTTTGCAGACCACAAGAGAGACCTCACATGCCACCCGTGCCCCTCCAACCACACAAAAGATGTGCCTTTTACGCAGTGGTCCCCAACCTTTACTTCATCTATCCATCCATCCATCCATCCATCCATCCATCTATTATTTCCTATTTTCACCGACAGGCATAGACACAAATCAAAACAAATGATTACATAACACAACAAGATGACCCCCAATCTGTGTTAATTCATTTTGTTGGGGATGTTGAAAATGGAAGGAATTTGTTGCTTTTCTGTCAGTCTCCCGATAGTCTGTTTAAAATACTTCCCAGTTGTTTTGATAACGTGGTTTAGTCAAAATACCCCAAGGATCAAGAATTAAAGTGCAATTTATATGATATTAGCGGCTGTAGCTGTGGGGGCTAATTATTCAGATAGTGTAGGCCAGACTCTAACCGTCGTGTGAAAGTGGCTTTAGAGCTTTGCTTAATTTAGCTGATCATGTCATGAATGAAGAAACTCAGTGAGGGTCGGTCTTATGTAAATTTGCCCCACAGTTATGTAACAGTCGGTAGGAAGTGCGGAATGTCTGACAAGCACATTTTCAGATGTAGACAAATTCAAGCTTTACTTGACATTTTAAGCACATTTGATGGTTTGGCAAGCAATTAAACAGTCCGTTTTTCATAATATGTCCTCTTCAAGATCAGCCTCAACCGATGACATCATAGCGTTTCATCTTTTTCCGGGTTATCATTTTACGATCACATTTTACAGGAGTTAACTTCTTTCAGCATTTCTGTGACAATTTATAATGTTAAAAGAACTTTTGGTCATTAAATTCCTGTCATGCTATTAACATGACCGTTTGTTTTTGCTTTAACATTAAAGTCGGGCGCCTTATTGTTTTTACATCTCACTATTAACGGTGATTCACTTATTTTGATGGTCAAGAAAGATGAAACAAAACACAACTTATTTGAGCATGCAACTGATCAATTTGGTTGCTGTGGTGTACCAATCATTTGGACCAAAAACAAGTCGACTCAATGTGAAGGGTGTGGTGTTCCGTTTACCTGGTGGCATCACTCTGTCGTTGTAGGTGGGATGGTAGGGACTAATGGACCACATGAGGCAAAATATACAGCCGCCGAACATGGCCGCCAGGAAGGTGTAAAGTGCAGCGTAGAAGAGGAGGATGAGGCCTAAAAATTGAGAGAAAAGAGCGATTAGAAGACCTCATGGGAACTCACAAGACTTCACTTGTACTTAATAATGGACTGTACTGGAATGTGATCTATCCAAAACCCTTTTGGCATACACGTTGCATTTGGAATGAAATCATCCGTAATGACCCAATGTGCATTGATTGCAATTATGATACTTGGTCAATAATCTTTTTTATTTAATAAAAAGACTGTAGATCACATTCAAGGAAAACTACTGTAATGTCACATTGTGCTTCCTTAACATCAATTTATTTCCCCTCCAAAATGGCCTGATCTGACAACACAACTATTTTTTTAAATTTTAGCATGTCATAGCTGAAATCTAAATTTAGCATAGATCAATAGGATTGTGGCTAATTGTTGCTTGGCAAAATTCATAGAACTCAATGAAAAGTGAAATAAATCTTTTTTTTTCCATATACGTACTCCAAAAACAAGACTTTAAAGGTTTATTATGAGACATGTTTGTGTAGACATATATATTATGCCGCCCAATCACTGATCTATATTCAATATAAAATGCAGACTGAACTCTTGAAAAGAGAGAACGTTGCAGATTTACTTCAGCGGCTAATAAAGGGGTTCTCTACGAAAAATTACATGACTAATTCAGCAGCTTGCCTTTGTAGATAATTTTGCATTACTATTGTTGTAATTTCTGGATTTTTCAATCATTTTGGCTCATGGAATTGTTAAGATTACTTATATCCTCCTACTTCAGTTCAAGAGAAAAAAAAGCTGAAAAAATCTACAAATTGCATGTCTGGTTTGTTAGTTTTTCTGAGTCTTCCTGAATAACTGACATTTTGCTGTGCGTGCACTTTTCACAGTTGGGACGATGTAGTTGCAGCCATGCCTCGTGTACCCCGAGTCCACAAAGGCTTTTCTGTTAGAGCCCAGTGAGAATTCTTCCAGCTGTCTTTTCACTAAGGAACACAGTGAACCTCCGGTTGACATCGTAGTGAAGGTCCTTTGCAGCCATGGAGGCCTCGGCCGGCCAGCTCCAAGGAGCACCAATCACCCCACTCTGGTATTGTATGGACGCGCTTGCTCACTTGCTCATTCTTGCCCGGGATACGTGGGCCCCTATTCCTCTTAAGGTTGCACTCATTGACAAGGTGGCTGCGGGAAGCTGTGCATGTGCTGCAGCATCGAGCACGTTTCTTTTTTTTATTTTATTTATTTCACCTAGAATTAAAGCTCCATTTTCTTGTGTACCAAACTTTTGGAGTGGGGGGGGGGGCCGGGGGGCTGGATGTGTACGTGCTAGCTTGCACCGAGGGGGTTTGGCATCCGTGATGAGTTCATTGTAGGGGGTGTCGCAGCAGCTTTGGGAACGAGGATGTGGAGAGCATGTTAAGATGCGGCTGGAATGTGATTTCTGGCTAACACGAGTCTCGGAGCGGCGCGCTCCCACTGGGATCACGTCCCCGGGCGGGCTGTTTTTCTCTGGAATTGTCTGTGCACCTAAGTAAACAGCAGTGACACACACATAGACTGGAAGAACTGTTCAAGTTTTCCCAAAAGCATCTAAGTGAACAGTGAGCAACCTGGGGCCCGTGGGCCATATGCGGTTTGCGAGCGCATTTGATCCAATTCGAAAAACAAAGAAAATTTGACACAGGAAGGCTGAACTCCTTCACCTTAGAACTCTGAACCAGGGGAGCTAACCACTCTTGCACTGCGCTGCTGCATTTACCTCACAAATCCTCATGTTACACAGCCTACGGCCTGGTGCGCACAGACAATCGGGCTGCTAATTTTGCCCCTTCCCAACCAAGGAAATCGAACGCAATCTAATAACTGTCTTGTGGGATGATCCTGTAAATTAGCCTTTGATTTGAGGTGTGTTAAGTATGGATTTGTCCTAATAATGTGGTCCGAAATGGGACAGGGCTGGCCATCTCAAATATCAAATTTATTTAATATTTACAAGCAAAAATCTTCATATGTGTGTAGAAAGCTGACGAGTCATTTGATTCCGAGGACTATGACACCAGCGAATGTAGCCAATCAAAGAAGTGCCCCGACTGACAAAGAAGGAGGCAGCGGTGAAAGAAACATGTCCCATAATTTATTTATTTATGTATTTTTTTTTTTAGTATGAAAGCGGGATCCCCACATGACAGGAAGTATTTTCCAAAGCAAGTTTTTTTCTTGCTGACAAAGCCATCTTACAACGCTCCCGCCTCCGGTTGTCTTCAGAACTATTGGCGCATTCCCGGAAGTGTCTGCTCGTCTTCGTTTTTGTGAAATCACGTGTGATCATATGTGATCAATCTGCCTTGAAGGACGGCATTCTAGACTGGTGGTGAAACTGAATCATTGTGTGTGGTATTCTGTGTTGAGATGATCTGAGCAGACACACACAATATGACCAAAACTGTTAAATGTCTGACTTTCCATTTTTATGTGTGAGGTCTGTCAAAGATTTAAAAAAATAATTGAAAATTGAAAAATCCTTATGAGTGTACCAGGCTTAAGTTACATATATTTATTTAAATGTTTTATGTTTTTATATTTTACTATGTACTGTAGTGCTATTTTCCTTTATTAAATACATCGAAAAAAAAAATTGCTGTTTTTTTGGGGGGCTGGAACGGATTAATGGCAATTACAATTTATTCCAATGAGGAAAACTGATTTGCTATACAAACTTGTTCACAAAACGAGTCACACTTGGAAGTCAAGTTACCACTGTGTCATACTAAAAATGTTAGACTGGCGCTAGGGTTGTTCCTAAATTCATTAAGGCCTTGAATTCAAAGACATTCGAACATTACATGTTTGCTTCATCACAGCAGTTTTATCCGTAAGGCCAACCGAAATGTTACAATCCCAAGACCTAGAAAACCTCTGCCCGCCTCGCGTCAACTCACTCCAGCTCTTCCCCGAGCGGCCCATGAACTCCTTGGTCTCCGCATTCCACAGGTAGGTCTTCAAGTCGCTGATCTTCTGGTGCAGCGTCCGTCTGGGCAAGGGCCGGCGCTTCCACCTCTCGAAGTTGAGGTCCTCCTGCTCCAGAGGCTGGTGCTCGGCCAGCTCCTCCTGCTCCTCCTCCAGCTCCTGGCCATGTTTGAGGATCACCTTGGTCGGCTGTCGGAGAGAAGGGGAGAAAAGGCGCTCAACGCACATGTCCACCTCTGCCTGATCGAAAGTGTTTGTTTTTTTTTCTTTTCGTGGTAAAATGACAGACATTTAAGACGACCCTTCACTTGGCTGCATATTCATGATGTGGTCCTGTCTCCTGTCTCCGTGTTTAGGTGGATCATAAGATCCCGCTGGTGACCTTCGCGGCCCCACATTGAGAGAGACGACCTCCCTTGGAGCGGACCCTCCTGCTTGCATGTGGCAGCTCATGTCCAGATGTTTGGACTCGCAGACCCCAGGGGGACACGCAAGTACAGTAAGTATCCCCCAAAAGAGTCCCCACACTCTCCAAAAAAGCTAAATGTGAATCGAACACCTCACACACTGTTTCAGTCCTAAAATGATGATTTTCATTTTCTTTCATTTGAGCACTTACTGGACTTTTCGGGAGCGGGATCTCCTCAGATCCTCCTTCTGTGGAACTGGGCTCCATCTCAGCAAGAACCTCAACATCATTAAACATTGTGTTTGAAAATATTAAAATAATATGGAAACGAATCAAAGACCAGACCGACTGAAAAGGTACAGAAAATAAATCACTCACCTGACGTTCTTCCGGTAGAAAAGTGTATTTAAAAAGCGTGAAATGTTAAAAAAAATGCTTTTTGTCAAAAGTTTTTGGGGGGTTTCATTAGAAAGTTTGAGGCCGAGGTGTGGAGAGCCTCCTTCATCGAAACGCCCAACTTAGTGAATGAAGTCAGGAAATGAGAATCATTGGGAGAGGGTGGGGGCGAATACTAAAGTGCTTTTTTCCCCGTAGGGTTCAAGGAACGTTTTGGCAACGGCCCGCAGCCTGGCGCTGCATTCTCCACACGCACACCGTTACGCATTGTCTCTAAAGTGAGCAAAAACATAGCCTGAATACAATATTTAAAGCTGGTTACAACAGTAAAGATACAATCATTTCTCTGCCTCAGTCATGTACCTGTGCAAAAAAAAAACAAACAACAAAAACAAAAAAAAAAACAACGCCGTGATTCATCTATTTTTGCTCTATTTTATTCTGGTTCCTAACAATAAAAGCAGCATAATTAATGACACGGTGACATGCGTTGGCACATGCGTGGTGCATCTTACAGAGCCTCTTTGCAAGCGTTCAACATAAACTCCTCAAGTTCAAGGAGTCCCCCCACCCACCACCACAGCCTCCCTCCCACCGCCACACAACGCATCTGCACAACAGTCACGTACGTCGCACCAAACGCAAGCCCGAGTGCAAGCGGGAGAAGAGGACTCACTTGTGAGCCCGGCTTTCTGTTACATGAAAAGAGAAGTTGCGTCATGGAAAGAAAAACGACTGGATATTTGGAACGTGCATCCGCGCGTGCTTCTTTGTGTGAATTTCATGGTGAATGGGGACCCATTCTCAGCATGTTGCACTTTTGCTATGAGCCCGCCAAAGAGTACCATGATGACCCTAAAAAGTCACTTCAGTGCATCAATCATGTTAAAATGAGAGTTTGGTGTTGAAATGTTTTGGTAGGGATGTGCAGCGGAGATTGGGGAGCTTCACACAGGGAAACCCTGAATGTGGTTGAGTGCACTGCATTGTGGTATTGACCCTAGACTTGCTGTGTATTGTAACACTCCACCATCACACCTATTCATTTTCTGTTGTGCTTATTCTCATTAGGGTCACGGGTGAGATCAAGCTTATCCCAGATGACTTCTGCCAAGAGGCGGAGTGCAACCTGGACTGGTCCTGTCACCAGAGAATCACAGGGCACAAACAAACATTCATTCATTCACACTCACATTCACAGCGGTTACGGAACACCACGTGGACATGCACACTGCATACAGAAAGGCCAATTCCCTCCATCCGTTTATTTTCTATGTTGCCTATCCTCATTTGGGTTGTGGGTAAATTGGAGTCTATCCAAACTGATTGGTTGTGTGTGGCAGCGAGGGGTTGGGCTACACCCTGTACTGGTCACCACCTAATCGCAGAGCACACACGAGCAACCATTGACATTTACGTCTATGGACATTTTAGTCTTGACTTAAACATGCTAAACACTAAAGAGCAGTGTGCTGTCAATGGTAATTCAACGTTCATACAATATTAATAAGACAAATATATTTAGTTCTTAATAATTTCGGTGCCAATTTAAATAATTTAAACAGTTTTCAGATGAAAACAGAATTGCGCCTTTAAGGCAGATGCTTAAGTCTGACAGCAGATGGGGCCACATAGTAATCTGATGGCGCACAACGTAGTTGATCAAATCCGGTTTGGGGGCTTTATGTGATACGTCAACATAAATGCTCTTCGAAATGACTAGATAGACAAAAGTATGTTTGACACTGTTGTAGTTATTCCTAATCTTCAACTGATTTAAATCTTCATATTTCGATCAACCAACGACCAAAATGAAATGTCAACATCGTTTGTTTTCTTTTGCCTTCATCTTTTTCAACAAATTTCTATTTTCTCTGAAATAGTATACAAAACCTCAAAATCGTTCACCTGCAACCAATTTAATTTGAACTTTATTTTTACTATATTTCGAGTAAATGAGAGCAGGTGTTGAACATGCAGTTTGGCAACCCATTGTAGATGTTTACACTTTCGGTGAAAATTAAGTCATATATTTAAGTACGTCTAACTTAACATGTATTACTGCTATTACTGTATATAATTACAAATGTACTTTTTGTATTTGGTTACATTTTCGTTTACTCTGGCCTTAAAAAAAGCAACTATTTGTTTATGATTTTATCGTAATTGGATCAAACAGCGCACTGCAGGCTAAATGGACACTTAAAGATGATAGGCCAACATTTAAACTACCGGTAAAAGACAACATGAAGACATTTTTCAAATAGAATTATTCGGACTTATGTTTGAGCTAACATATACGTGGATATTCGTTCCTTTAAATTGTACTGGATATTGAGAAGCGAGTGAGTAGTGAATTTCAACAGGTTTCAAGCTACTGTTCTGTTAATGGATGTTTTTCCCCCTCACGGTTATGACATGCGCACACACTGCCGCGACTCCACTCTCAGTCCCCGACACACGGCGAGGACGCGGACCCACGGACGTGCAGGCAGCGCCGACAAGGGGATGCGAGTCAGTCGGGGGCGGGGAGGGGATCTTGGTCGAGGGAGGGAGCTGCGGTCCTCGATCTGACGTTACATCCATTCAATGACTACGGACAGCTGGCCCGAAGATTTACAGCGAATAACATCGAGGCGTCACGCTTGGTTCGTTCGGTTTGATTTACAAGCGGCGGGATCCATCGTCTGCGGCCCAACATGCCCCCGGCGCCGAGCCTTCAGTCCAGCGGGCTGACGCTGTCCGAGATCAGCATCGGTAGGCGTGTGTGCATGTGTGCAAGGTCAACGGCGTGTCTGAACAACACCTGTGCTTAGCGTGTGAGCCAGACTGGAGAATGCCAAGCTTTCAAACTGATAATCAGAATACAGTAAGCAATGCATTGATGTTCCATCACGTATTTTTCAGGTTCATCCAGGCCGCAGCGCGTCACTGCAGGTGCGGCGCCCTGCATGCTTCTTTCGATGCATCGTGCTCCGTTAGCCACCAGCAAAATACAGTCGACAGACAGCAATGATGTGGTACAACGTGTCATGATGGCATTATGTGGTGTGGGTTAGCTCCCAGTTGCTTTGTTATCACAAAGAGCAGGGTAATGATTTGTTGTGGCTGTGGAAGTTGCACACGTTTGGGAGGAAAAGTTATAGGGAGCATTTATAGAAGACTATGGTTTGGTTAACTATGAGTATGCCTACCAATCCTAAAAGCGCAACATGAAATGCATTTCTCTGGTTTTGATCTGAATAGTTTTCTGTTTGGTAATGCGTCTAATGTTTTGTCCAAGTTGTACACAACTGGCAGGAAAAGTCATGTTATTATTCCTATGAGTACTACTATTATGACAATTTCTAAGTGTAAAAACCCAAGGTGAAAAGCATTTCTCTGTGAATGTTCTCTGTTTTGGTCAAGTGTTGATGGGTCTGAGAATGGATGGCTATGATGTTACTCGATCAAGAAACCATCCTTGTCATCTTTTTCGAGATGGATTGAATACATAAAGTGGATGGCACTGTAACCAATGCCAAATGGTATTCTGGCTCACGGGCAGCAAGAGGGAGTGACTCCACTTATGTTTAAAAGCAGCCAGACTGGCTAGTTGTCGATGACATAATCAACTTACTTCTAATGGGAGTTGCTATCAGGCTAATTGCTTTGTGGTTGGTAATTGTGGCAGTGGAGAGTGATGTTGTGACAAAACACAGAGGTAATTTTGAGTGATTGTCTTTTCTGTGGACATGCACTCTCAATTGTGTGGTCAATACAGCGAGGGATAGAGTGATAAAAGATTGCAAAGACTAAAGTTGAGATGTCATCTCGGCTAAGTTTGAAATCTGAATCTTGCACATCTCACCGAGCAGCGGCCAAGGGTAGCCATGCATGCGTGCGTCATTCTCCATCACCGTACCCACAATCAAGGTTTCATGAAATAAAATTCACCCATCTCCAGAACCAGGCCCATTACACTCATAATCAAGCAGGAACAAGTCCACCTAAAAAGCAAAGTTTGCTGAGCTTAATTTAGTAGATAATGCCGTTTTCTTTGCCGTTGCTTTACTTTGTTTATGTACTGTTGCATCGTCAACTTGTGTTTTATGCACTTATTCGGGAGCTACCAATCAGAGGGATCAACTGTCATAGATAGCCGATGCAATTTTGCATATTGCAATTAATGGCGCAAATTAAATCAGATCTAAAAACCATGACACAAAAATCTCAATTCTTCACAATTCTAAACTTAGTTGTATTTACTTAGTTTAATTCCTGCTTTTATTATGAGTGTGTATGCAAAGATTGATATATATGTGTGCAATTCATTTCATGAAACCATGACTCACAGTGTTGTGATAAACAATTACTTCTCAGCCGCGGTGCTTACTTGCTATGGCATGAAATCAATGAGCTTCGTTGATGTTGACTGTTAGATTTGATGGTTATTTCTTTCAACTATTCTTTCCACGCAGATCAATTGTATATTTGCTCTTTGAATGTACAGTTACAATAAACAAATTGTGGCACGGTATCTAAGAATACCGCATCCATGTAAATGTAACGCCTGTTCAACGGTGCACGGCGTTTTAGTTCTCCTGCTTACACTCTAGACCACTAGAATGCACGACCGGCTAATTACCCCGTAGGAAAACAATAAACATCAACTACGACCGAAAAATAAACCCCACCGATAAGTAAACACCATAGACAAACAAACCGAAATATTACAGTGATGTCACCAGCGGGCCGTGGCTAGGACATTGCGTCCTCCAGCGAAACCCTAGTGGAGTGGTGTACTCACACCCCTCCACGGGTTACCGTCTGTTTGCAGTGGCCTCTTACACCTTGTGGGGGGAAGCAGGAATTGTGGAGCCAACCCGACTTGAGAGTGCGAGAAGGAAAAAATTATCCCACGCTGTCCTCATCGAGTACAGCGTTCTTTCCTCCCACGATGCCCTCAAGTGACAGGGAATTGTGATCCGACGACTTCAGCTCTGTCCTCAATCGTCGGATCAAATGATCAAGATTTTTTTTGAAAAATGGGTCCAACGTGACCAGTCGTCACAGTCTACTTGGTGCGGGGAAAACCAGTCAACAACACGAAGTCGTAATGGCGATAGAGCACACATCCACATGCGCGAGCGGCCGGTGGCTAACTCTCCCCCCACGCCCACTTGTCCGCTCCTTTACCAGTCGCGGTCGATTATCACCACCTGTGCTATTTCCCGTGCCGGACCGGCGGAACTACCTAATAGGCGCACACAAACAAATCAGGGGCTACATAAAAATGGCAGAAAATTGCAGACATCAAAAATTTCCCCGAGCTGTGGAGTTGGCCGAAGGGTGCCCAAGAACACCACTGCCCAACACCTATGGTGTAGCTCCGCCCCACATCACTTGACAAGTAGTGGAGCTCAAATGTTAACTTTTACACATCAATAAAACTATTCAAATGTGTGATGAACGAACTACACTACAGTATTTTTCACATATGACCAATATGTTATTATAGTCCCACCAAAGCCAAATACTGAACTCAAGACTGTGGGTTCTTTTTGTCCATAATCGCTATGCCAATGCTATTCTCAGCTAGTCAGCCCAACAATTTTCAAGCATTACTGTATTTCCCTTTGTGATAAAATGAGCCCTATTGATTTTGAATGAAATCTGACACAAGATGGCCCATGACGGAGGCTGATGTCTCATTTCAGCTTCCCTTTCAGCCCTCTTCCTGTCACAACGTTTCAACTGATCTCCAAACCCTCAGGAACTGTTATATATTAACACAAGAGCCTTGTGTGTGTTAGCCCAGTGATTCCCAAACTTTATTGAGCTAAGGCACGTGCATATTTTACATTGGAAAAATCCCACAGCGCATCACCAAACACAAATGTCACAAATGTTTGTAGAATGGAATGATGATGATCTCGTCACAATTTACTCACAAATTACGGTAAGTGTGCATGCCGGTATGTGAATGGCAACAGGTGGCTGCAAAGGTCAACTGCACCTTGTGTCATCTAGTGGAAGATGATCGAATTGTTCTGCCTGTTACTATTATGTTGCTAGCATAGATAACTTAACAGAGATACATTATTTGATGAATTAAGTGAAATTGGCTAATTTCCCGCGGCACACCTGATAATTTCTCACGGCACTGTAATGTATGACTGCGGTAGGACTCTACACACAGACTAAGTTATGGCATTTAGTTCGCTGACATTTTTGATTCATTACCAATTTATGAAAGTGTCTGCTGTCTTGTAGGTTCTTTTAAGAGGAGGAAGAGGAAATCCATCATCGTTACAGTGATGCTGCTCATCGTGTCAGTGCTCATTCTCATCATCGGCTTGGCAGCGACGACTAGGACACAAAACATCACGGTGGGCGGCTACTACCCAGGGCTCATTGTGAGTGTGCAAGGAATAGACGCAAACACACCCGCGGCCAATGATCACAATATGTGAAGTAAGCAAGCGCTTCCCACTTGCAATTCCTGCAGGGTGTGGGGTGAAATTTCCCGGCACTCATTATTCAGCATCGCTCTCATTACAGGCTGAGTGAGGTGAAGACTCTTTGCCATTCATTTTTTTTCTCAATTTTTTTGCATTCTGACACAAAGAAATACCAGCAGCATGTAGACATGTTTTAACTAACATCGTTAACATCCTTAACTCTCATTTGTGTTTTTTTTCAAGGCCAAAATGTCAAAATATTGCTTGACATGAAACTGATCCATGGCCCTGTGGCTTTACTTGACTTAGAGCAGTGCTTCTCAATGACAGTATTTTCTGTTACGCCTCACCGAGAAAGACAAAAGCATTTTGTCCCCCCAACTCTCTGCCATTACTAGAAATAGTATCATTTGTCTAAAAAAATCTTAGAAGTATATCTCTGCATAACATTGTGAACATCGAAAAATGAAAGAAATAAAGATCAGCTTACAACAAAGAAAAACTGAACTTGATTTTTAGTCTCTCTCAACCTTTGTTTTCATCCCTGTCAAATATTTTTGCATGTTTTCTCATAACTTTGTTCACACTGCACTTTGTATCTTCTGCTCTGTCCAGTGAGTGCGCATACTCAGTGCAAAAAAAAAAACCCTACACCTTAGAACAGACATGTCTAGCTACGGTCCTCGAGGGCTGCTGTCCTGCCTGCTTTCTATGTCTCTCTACTCTAACACATCTGATTCAAACGATCAGCTTGGGGATCTGCAAATGGGCTCTGCTCACTTTGACAATGAGAGCGCCACCGCCACCTACTGTAGTGGATGTGAAATTACACTTTCTTCTAATACAAAAAAACAAAACAAAACAAAAAAAAACATGTACTCTGGGGTCACCCCCCTCAATGTATGTATTTCGCTAGTACTGTACTGCCGGACAGAAGGTAGGTCAGACAGTCCTTTCGGAAATGTAGTTTACTTTACTTTATTACGCAACACTTAGTGACCTATTTTTTTTTCATCTTGTACGCAACAAAAACTCTCTCTCTCTCTCTCTCTCTCTATCTCTCTCTCTTTCAATAGAGATAGATACAGTATATATAGATATAGATACATAGAAATATAAACTAATACCTAAACTAATACAAATTAAACTAAAACAAAGCATTTTTGGAAAAAAAAAACAACAACAACAATGAATACAATCTAAGAAACCCATTCTGAAAACGACTTTGTAATTAAAGCTACCAGAATTTAATAAACAGAAGTGAAGACGACATAAAAAACAACTGCAATGAAAATTCCCAAACTTGTCTAACCCCGTCCCTAATAGCTGCGTTCTCTTTCCTTTCAGCTGGGCTTTGGCTCTTTTCTGGGAATCATCGGCTCCCATTTAATCGAGAACAAGAGGCAGATGGTAAGCATTATGATGGTGGTGTCACCTCACAGGGACAGTGCCAGAGCACTCGTTCACGTTCTCTTACAGCAGCTTGATGTCAGTGCCAGTGCAATGACACAACACCGCAGCAGAAACAAATCGGGCCTGCAGAGGTTTGCGCCGCTGTGTACCTGAGCTAAGTGATCCGCATCCAGAAATAGATGCAGACTGTAAGAGGAGCAGGCCAGATGTCCACACTGGAACGTGGGGAGGCAAACTGGCAGTGGCAGTCCTGTTAGAGCTGACGTGACGAATGACTTTGGCCCGTGACACCTTTTCTGACAATGCAGTAAAGTTTGAACGGCCAGTGCCTGGGTCGGCGCGTGTCGTGACGGCTTATGCCACATGGCTGACCGGTTCATACCTTTTAGATCTGGTTGCTGATGCTGATTATGAATGTTTATTGTCTTTGCATTCGCTGGCATCAAGATACAATTCCTGTTATAGTTGACAATTTAGATACCAGAGAATGGATTTGCATTTTTACCAAGTTGCAGTTACTAGACAAGTGAAATGACCAGAAATAAAACATTTATTTATAAACATGGAAGCATTTATTCAAAATGTCAAGCAAATCAATAAAAGAGTAATCTGTGACTAATGCTTTTCAGCTTCAATTAGGGTTGGGTAAGTAATCAATTTTAGTTGACATTTTTTTTGTCAGGATTCTTTTTCCTTTGTAGCGGTCTGTGTCATCCAAAGTGTGTTCCCACAAGTGTGCGCTGCTTCCACTAACAACATGGCTGCTAGCAGAGACGAGTCAGTCACAAAATCTGAGTCAGTGTTGCCATTTTAGCGATTTGGTTGCGATATTTCAAAAGCGCGATGAGTGGCTTGAATTCCTGCTGAGAAACAGGTGACATGAGCTGAATGAAGCATTTTCACATTTTGTTCAATATGATAAGAAAAGAGTCCAGTGATAGACAGATACTGGAGACAGACAGATACTTTATAACATTGCCGAAGACAAGGGAAATAAATATATCATTAAATTCATTACCTGTAATCAGATTTATGTCAGAAAAAAAAAATCTGAGATTTTATTTGCTCGGTTATGGTTTTAATTAAAGGTCCATCCATCCATCCATTTTCCAAACCGCTTTATCCTCACAAAGGTCACAGGGCGTGCTGGAGCTTATGCCAGCTGTCCTCGGGCAGTAGGCGGGGGACACCCTGAACCGGTTGCCAGCCAATCGCAGGGCACACAGAGACGAATAACCATTCACATTCATACTCACACCTCAAGACAATTTTGAGTGTGAACCTACCATACATGTTTTTGGAATGTGGGAGGAAACCGGAGTACCCAGAGAAAACCCACACGAGCAAGGGGAGAACATGCAAACTCCACACAAGGATGGCCGGAGCCGGAATCGAACCTTGCTCCTCTGCACTGTGAGGCGGACGTGATAACCAGTTGTCCACCGTGCCGCCCGAGTTATAAATAATTATTTTGAAAATAAATTATCATTTCGAGAACAAGTTGAATCTAAACGTGTCCAAATCCTCAGAATTTGAGCAACCTCTCGGCAGTAAATACTCTTCGATTTGTGTAGTCCTCCATGGAAGCAGACTTATTATCTTTGTGTTGAATAAAAATGTGAAACTGTTGCAAACATCTGCTTTTACTTTGGAAAACAATATTCAACATTTGATGTTACAGACCCAAGCCAGTAGCTGAAGCTTAATTAATTTATGTTTGTGCATTTCCTGTTCTGTCAGTTTGAAATAATGTCCTACTTTTTAATGTAGGGATGGAAATTAAAACTTGTTTTTATTATCCAATTCATGGATTAATCAACGAAATAACAGATTAACCGATCATTAAAACGAGTTGCATCCCTAGTTGTAATCACTTCTAACAAAAAGAGGCAATTCAACTTGCATGCTTCGATTTACGTTGGTGAACGCTGCATGGTAGATCAAGCTGATTGTACGCTTTGCTGTCTGCTCTTTTTCCAGTTAGTGGCTTCTATTGTCTTCATCAGCTTTGGAGTGGTGGCTGCATTCTGCTGTGCTATTGTAGATGGGGTTTTTGCTGCCAGGCACATTGTGAGTAGAACTAAAGCTTCTGACAAAGCAAAGCCAATATCCAGTTGTGCTCATAAGTTTACACACCTTGGCAGAATTTGTGAAACATTGGACAAATTTGGGGGGGGGGCAATATTACAGATGACTGAATATCTCATTATTTTCTTATTGCTATGCTTTGTTTAATGATTGTTCTATTCTGACATGCCTTATAGTTTACTTTGAATCCCAAGATAAATGTGTTTTGGCTGATACTGGTTTTCTTTAAAAAAATAAAAGATACCGGTACACGTCTTCTAAATTCTGTAACTGTATGTGAGATTTGAAGGAGACATGTGCTTAAATGTATAACACACCTATTGATCAATGCCAGACTCCTCAAAGTGTAATGAACCTTAACTGAATGGAACATACATAGCAAGTGGTAGTTTGCTGAATGGTAGTGAAAGCAATTCTCCATCGTGCATGTCATATAAAACATGAAGTAACCACTCATGCACTCTGAAAAACAATTAGACGAAAGTAAGCTCTGAGCGGGCGGAAAGTGAGAAGAGCTTCTGTAAGTGATTTATTAATTAGGTGGTGATGGAAGAACGTTTCCGTGCTCGGAGTCACTGCAGAGAAAATGAAGAGAAGGAGGAATTGGAGGATGACATGCCATGATGCGGGGTTCTAAAATTGTGGACATCATTTGTACTCTTATAACTACAACCAATTATCACCCAAATGGTGTGTGAAAAACTGAGGGCCAACTTGACAAAGAATGAACAGTGCTGCTGTTCATTCTTTGTGAAGTTCAACTTCAACAGCACCTTGAATTGCACTTCATTTACACTGGCAGTTTGCTCTGTATTAGCGTCTTCTTCACATAGGATACTGCACTCATGACATACCAGCGCAAGCGAGCCCACAAAGTTTGACAGCTGAGTGCCCCTGATTTCCCCCTGGTTGCAATATGCCATAATTGTTTTTATTGCTGAGTGCAAAAAATGGCAATTGGCCGAGTATTTTCAGGGCTCCGGACTAACTATTTTTACTGGGAGCACAGTGACTCCGAACCTGAAATTTTAGGGGAACAAGTCGAAATTTCGGGGAGCACAAAAATAGACTTGAGGAATAAATATTCACATTTCCACTGAGTATATGGGTGCAAGCGTAGATCAGAAGTTGGTCAGAAACCAAAACAAAAATATTCACGAATTAAATAAATAAATAAATTTAAAAATAGATATATTTTGGGGTCACACGAGTAGATGAAAATGATTGTTGCACTGTCTCAAATTTTTGGGGCAAAATGCCACCGCTTAGGGTCAGTCTGGAGCCTTGATTTTCGTGAATTATGGAAGATAGGTTTCCAAACACAAAAAGATGTAAATTTGAATGCCGAACCCCCTAGGCGTGTAGAAATAGAAGAAAACGGTGGTCATTACATTGCAGGACCTGAGGCCTCTTTATGCAGGACGCTGTGACTACCACTCCAGTGAGAGTGCATCTGAGCGAGACGTAAGAGATTCCCACCATCTATATTTGCGTCATACATTCAAGGTTGAATGAAGAAACGGGACGTGATGTCTTGTGCTGTGCGTGATCCTTAGGTGCCTTGCCAGACGTCGTCTCGCACGTCCTGCAACCTGCGCGTGAGAACCAACACGTGCTACTGCTGCGATCTGTACAACTGTGGCAGGTGAGTACGAATGGGCGGTTGAATGACGGCACGGCCTCGGAAACGAGCTATCTGCTTTCAGGCTGCTCGCCGTGATTGTTTCCACTTTGTGTGGGACACTTAGATATGCGGCCTAGAATAATATTTATCTCTCACGTGCGCCCAAAAAATTCTCTCACATTCCCCCTAAAAATCTCTCACCCTGACCAAAAAAAAACCTCACACGGGTACATACAAAATTCTCATTCACCCCAAAACCCTCTACACCAGTGGTGGCCAACCCGCAGCTCGTGAGCCGCATGCGACTCTATGGCTGGTTCATGAAATGAAAACAGGTAGCATCTCAAATCTCAAATTCTGATTGGCTCTACCATGTATCAGGTCCCTCCCTCGGTTTGTGTTGGAAGACACATACAATTTGCATTTCTGACTTTTATTTCGACTAAAAGAAAGTTCTCACACAGAAAAAAAAAAGGCTTTTTCCGTGATTGTTTTTTCCTATAGGACTGTGAATAAGAGAACTTTTCTGGTGCGTTTGAGTCAGTTTTGTGGTGAATGTGATCGGTTTTGGGGTAAATGTTATTTGTATCCTATGCAGCACTTCATACTTTCAATTGTTACCAGAAGAAGAATGTTTCTTTTTTTTTCTTTTAACCTTTGTTTCAGAGAGCATCCTCTAATGGGACTTCAGAATAGAGATGGTTTGAAAAAGTTTAAGAAACCATCCATGATTTGGAAGTAGGTCCCTTTTTTTAGATCCATCATGGCTGTCTTTAAAATGGAAATGACTCCACCGTCGAACTGTGTTTTCCCCCCCTGCATGCCCGTTATGTGTGACACCCACTCTAGACGTCCATGTGCCAGCTCCACAGCAGCCTCCTTTGTGCCTCGTCTGAGTCGTTTGATACCAAAAGTTGAACTTTTGAGGTCTGACTACTGCTTGCGCTGTTCTCTGTGTTAGCCGCGTGGAGGTGGTGGGCGGCTACCACGAGTATACAGACGTGAAGAGCTGCGACGATGTTGTGCACCTACACCACCTGCTCTGGTCGGCGACCATCCTCAATATCGTGGCTCTCTTCCTGGGCATCATCACTGCTGCGGTGCTGGGCAGCTTCAAAGACATGGTAGGACGGACAGAGATTTGAGGCTTTCGTGACCACGCTTGAGACGAAACACGAATAATGTGATTTTCTCTGTGTGTCAAGACACCTGCTCAAGCATCTGAAAGCAATTCAGAACCGGAGGCCATCACAGCCTCAATCGCCTCTGAGGCTCCATCACGCACTAATTCCAATGTCAACTCCTACCGCAACGCTGCCCCTTGCCTGCCGCCATACACGGCCTACGATGCGCAGGTAATGTAGACAGTGGAGCGTTGAGATGAGTGCACTTCAGACCTCCATCGCTAAATGGCGGCAGCAAATTGCATTACCATTCATTGCAATGAGGAAAGATGATTTGAAATACAAAGTACTGTACAGTGAACCCCCTCCATTGCCGGGTTACGTTTCAGACCACCCCTGCAAAAAAATGAAATCCACGATACAGCATAGAAATAACTTATTGAAATACTCCTTAGACATGTTTTTGTTTTTATTGCATGTAGGGCACTTTAGGGTTCTACATGAATAGTGACCCAGGGCCACAACATGACTGTCGATTCACCCGAATTTCACTGACGCCGGCTAAAATGCAGTAGTAACTCCCCGCTAAACGCCCCCCCCCCACCCCCGCAAATAAATAAAGAAAGAAAGAAAACGCCCTCCTGAACTGCAAGGGAAACGGCTTAGAGGAGAGAAAAGTACCGGTAGTGTTTTGCTGCCATCTTGTGCTGTCTACAGGTAGTTATTAACTTGTTGGAGGGAGGGGGGCATCTTGCTGAATTATGCGATGCACGGCAGGTATTGGTCCCTATCCTAAGCAAATAAATGGGGAACCCTGTCATGCGATGACTTAAATCATTTTGTCTTTCCATTTTTGTTAGGGTTCCTATATGTTCGCCGACTCTTCTGGCTTGTCAGACGACTCCCAATCCGGGGCCAGTCACCTTTGGCCCACCATGGTGCCTCCGCGCTACTCCCCACCTCACGACCACCCAGACGACAAGCCGCCACCGTACAGCCCCTAATAGGGCTCAAACGTCGTCTTCGGGTTCCCCCCAAAAGGACCAAAGTGTGGAACCCGAGTAGGAGGGCGAGCGCGGCGGATGCTATCTTTGAGTTGAGAGCCACTTTAAAGGAGCAAGAAGGTAGTCTGGGCACTGCTTGCACGCTTGGCCTGTACCGTTCAAGCGAATCCAGTAAGAGGCAAACTGTTTACAGTCGTCCTGCCTTAACGCAAACAGTCTTCCAACACGGCAGCATTCTGTTGTCTTTATCTTTTCAGATGCTTTCTGCTAAACACATCCTACTGTCCTCCATGTTTTTGGGAGAGATCCTTGATGTGACTAAGTTAGAAGTTACATATCCTCAGTGGTTTGGAGGAGCAGTCCCCAAAATTTCTTGCACCGTGGACCAGTTTCACACAAATGCGTCAGTATACTGATGGACTGGGATACGACAAATGATTGAAAATAAAAGACGGAATGTACTTGTTATAATTAGTGACCTGCGTTTGTTTCTATTCAACAAGCTAGTTCCCCCCAAAAATAACACTTTACAGACGGGATGCTGCAAATGGCAATTATTTCTGGGTAAAATATGAAGAATATATTGTTTTTGGCCTTTTTTTTGTTTTATCTCCATACATTTCTTGTGCAAACCATAAATTGACACCCATGACACTGTGGCTGTCTTCCATATTTAATCCTTTGGTTTTGGCAAATCTGCATATCCGACTTTGTTTCAATAAACTACAAAACACACACACACACACACACACACACACACACACACACACACACACTTTTTCCTTAGTAGGGGTTTATTGAACAGGAGGGTGATTCCATATAAAAGCAGCCAAGAAATTTTCCTTCACCTGTCATATTTTCTACAAATCTGAACAAAACATTTTTGTTCGAAAGAGATTTGCAATACATTTTTGAATTAGAAAGAGATTTTGTGGACACCGCTTCACGATACCCAAAACACATTAGTCGATGAATGAAATGCTCATTATTTTTACCTATAAAATGCCACCCTGTGACAGTAAAGCTCTGAAAACAGCCATCTGTCAAGCCTTGTCAATGGTGAAGGGGTTTGACTTTATTTTTGTTTTATTTGACTGTGATTCATGTATATTTATACATGTATGTGTGAAGAATGTTAACTGTTAAGCTTTTTGTATGGCAACTGCTTGACTCTAAAATGATTGAATTCACTTTATATGATTTCGAATGGGAAACGTTTTTGAATTGACAACAGAAGTACCGAAGGCAACCAGCATCACAGAACAAATTAAGGTAAAACAGTAAAAGAATAATTTATTGTCATCCGACTTCCAATCCTATCGACGAAGAGGGACAGTTTTAATACAGCAACAACAATTATTATATGAAAAGCAAGCATGGTTCTACAAAAATGACATTACACAGAATTTAGACTGTACATCTCACACACACACACCAATGTTCATCTGTTTATTGTCGTTGACATGACGTAGAATGTCCCTGCCAGCGCTACCTCTTTAATCACCACTACACTCACAGTGAAAAGTCAATGAAGAGTCCAAACTAAGACAACAAAAGAAGCTCTCCCCAAAGATTAAATACTAAGTGCTAACTTTCTATCAACGGTCTAAGTCAGGAGTGCCCAACCAGTCGATCGTGGTTGACCGATTGTCCGCGAAGATTTGTGCGTCTCTATATTTTTTGTATTTGTGTACACTGCAACCTTAATCATCCGCATTAGTTTCACACTCAAAAACACAACAACAACAAAAAAAACAAAACAAAACCTGGCACCTGGCCTGCGTCACAGAAAGTTGTTAGTCGTCAGCAGTTTGCAATTGCAGCTAGCGAGCAGAGCCGTTGAGACACATCTATTTGTTGTTTGAGTCTCATTCAAGGTCTTGTTTGATCTGCAATTCAGCGACGGCATTGTGAAAGAATGGAAAGTGACGGGAGAAACATTTTAAAACGGTACACGCAAGCTACAACAGTGATCTTGCTGCACTGAATGTGACAAAAGTTCATCCCTGCCTCCTTGTGTCAGGTCTCCTTACTAAGAACTCCGTCTTGTCTTGTATCTAGTTTACGTTTCTGTTTCGTTCATGTTCAGATCCATTCCGACAGTTGTTCATCATGGCATGCGTGTTTGCATGCGTGTGTATATGTGCGCATGGTCGGTTACCGTTCGATCGCAGAAAGTTGGCTGCTTGAAAACTAGATCTTCGGTCAAAAATGGTTGGGCACTCCTGATCTAAGGGTTGACTCCCCTAAAGCACGTATCACGCGTGTGGGCTTGAGAAATGAGGGTGACAGATTTAAACTGCCTGACTCAACTTTAAATACCTTCAATGATACTCATGTGCGAGCATGCCAAAAATCAAAATATATTTTTAAGATCAGGAGACTGTCTTGTGCAAAGATGAGCAATGTCAATGAGGGAATGTGGAGTGATCGTGGCAGAAATATTTGTCTGCTGAAACTACAGCTATTATGTTTTTTCATCACCCTAATGGAGGGGTCGAGAACCTTTTTGACTAAGAGAGCCATGAAGCAAAATATTTGGAAATGTATTTCAGTGAGAGCCATAATATATATATATAAAACTATTTTAAAAGTGATTTCAACAAAGTGTCAGTATAATAAGCCTCTGAATGTATTCTTTAAAATAATTTTGTGATAATACTCACCATTAATTTGAATGGTTTTCCGTTCCTCACGATTGCTAAAAATCCAGCAAAACTATCGGAATTAAAGTCATCTTGCCGGGTCCATACGCGAAGTTACTGCTGGCTAGTTTGCGCACTGCTCAGTAGCTTGCAGGGTATTTTGATGCGAACGTAGCATGGGGCGTGTCAAAGTGCCGCTCTGCATTCAACCGTTTCATCAATGGTATTTTGTCATTGCAAATCAGACACGCCGCAGAACCTGTTCTCTCCACAAAGGCGAATCCTTCGGTCCATTCGTCCTGAAGTCTACCAAACTCGTCATCTTTTTTTCTTTTCGCCATCTTATTCGCTTAGGATTAGCTTTGAGCTAATGGCCGAGCGGGTTGATTCAAAAGGGGGCATATACCTACTTCCACAGCAACGGCAACGTTGGCCCGTATAATCCAATCAAAATGGCTCCTGGAGCCAACTGCAGCCCGAACAGGAAATGAGCAGTGAAAAATCGATCGATGGCTGCATTAATAAACAAGCGAGAATATTTTTTTTATCTGCAAGCCAGATACAATCATCAAAAGAGCCATATATGGTTCGCGAGCCATAGGTTCCCGACCCCTGCCCTAATGAGTTTAAAGGGTTAATGTAATTTTAATTAATTGGTCAGAAAATTATTATTCAATCGAAATAATGTGCCTTTGTTCGTCAATCTATGCCAGTGACGTATAGTGACAAGCAGAAAATTAAGTGCTCTTCCACAAAGTACAAATAATCTGTGTCACCATCTGTTGCCAGTTACAAAACAGAATAGCTTTGTGTTCAACTAGCATGCCCAGATTTCATACTAAGTACATTTTTAAGTTAGTTGAGACGAGGTCATAATTTTTTTCTCAAACTTTTTGGATGTATGTGCCTTTGCTTAATTAAGATTGGGAAACACTGGTCTAGGAAACATGGCCTAAAGTTCGGTACTAAATAAGTTTGATGTCTATTAAATGTCAGCTGTTCAAAGTCTTGTTGAAAATACAGATAATCAGGGTTCTGGATGCAGATTCAAATGACATGCGGTGCAGTCACGTGTGTGAACATTCGCTCATCCAGACTACCGTGGAGAACAGAAAGCTCCACGGAGGAGGAATGGAAGTCCAAGTGGGGCCCTCCAAAAAGGCACGAGTAATGGCACGGGCCAGCGCGGCTCAATACGTCTCCGGAATGTTAAAATTGAAGTCCGACTTGCCCTCAGGTGGGCTAACGTTCACGGGCGGCCCGGGCCGGCCCATCATTTGTTCGTCAAAGTCAAAAATGTCGTCCCAGTTCAAAACCTGGCCCTGGGCGGGCGGACGCAGACTCTCCTGGCCGTGAGCCATGTGGTGCATGCCGCCATCCTCGCCGATGAACGGCACGGTCGACCCATCTGTGCTCCACGAGTTGGGCTTCATCTGCATCGTCTTGCAGGGCAGCAGACGGTAAATGTTGTCCTCGCCGTCCTTGGCCTTCTTCCCGCTAGGGTCCACGTTATGGACTTGTTTGCAGTGGTTGGAGAGCAGTTGGTAGTTGAGGAAGGTGTCCTGGCAAATCAGGCACTGGTAGCGCCGCTCGCCCGTGTGCTGAATTTCGTGTTTAGTCCTGTACTCGGCCAGGGCGAAGACTTTGTCACAGTAGCGGCACGGGTACTTCCTTTCCCATGAGTGCGTGTTGAAGTGGCGGCGGAGGCTAGTCCGACACACGTAAGGTCGCTTGCACACGGTGCACACATAGAAAGTCTTGCCGTCCATGATCAGCTCGTAGTGGTCTTCGGAATCGGACTTTGACTTTTTCTTGTTAGGTGAGGGCTTGAGATTCTCAGGTATTTGCGGGATGGATCTCTTCCCTTTGTTGGACTTGGAGCCGCCCTCTCCTGGATCTTCCTTAACGGGTACAATGTCGTAGGTGTTCTCTCCTATGTTGGCGTAGATTTTACAATCTGGGGAAATGGAATCGATTTCTGTGGCTGCATTGAGTGTGACCGTCTTTTTCGTTGCTATCGTGGGTTTGACGACATTTCTTTGACTCGGGGGGCTGTCTGAGATGTCCAACAGCCTAATTTTGAAATCCCCTTGCTGCGGTGAAGTGCAAATTTGCTTTTTGTGGACACCCAGTATGTCAGTGTTTTCCATCACGTTGCCTTTTCCAGACGATTGAGAAGCAGTGGGCAGCTCGGGGGTTAAGCCGCTGGTCTGAGCCGGCGTAGTGGGAGTACTTCCGGAGGAAACTCTGGTGGGGGAATTCAGGTTATTGGAGCTGCTGTCTGGACTGCGCAGAGGGCTTCTGTCGGGAAGCTTTATTTCTTGCGTCCCTGCGGGTGCTTCTTCTTTAAATGTTGCACTTGCGCATTTTTTGCTTTGCACCTCTTCAACCTTTTCTGATTTCACCGCATCAACATAAATGACATCTCCTGAAGTTTCCTGATTGGCAGCTCGCGATCTGGCGTCTGTCTCCGAGACAAACATGACATCATCATCATCCGAGTCCACGCCTCGATCCGTGGCATTGATCGACTGCTCAAACTCCTCCGCAGATATGGAATAGGACTCGGAGATGATGGGCATATCTTTTCCTGACGATGTTTGGCTTTGGGGGTTTTCCTCCTTTGACCAACCAGGCAGCCCTCTGACTTGGGAGAGCGGTGTTGCCAAATTCGCGAGGAACTTCACCCCGAGTGTCTGCCCGGCGCTCATCAGCTCCTCCAGCAAGTCCGAGCGAATTCGTACAATCTTGGAGCTGTAAATGTAATTGATGATGTGCTCGAAGATCTCCGCTCGAAGAAAGCTGAGTTCAATGACTTGCTCGGCGATGACAAAGAGCTGGTGGAAATAGGTACTCGATGCAGACAGGATGGCTTTGTGGGCGTGGAACTTCTTGTCTTGCACAATAATTGTAACATCGCAAAATAATCCAGTATTGCGCTGCTCATTCATCGACTTCAACAATGCGGCTGAATACTGTGTGTCCATCGCTGTGATCAGCTTTAGAGTTGGCATGTCTGCAAGGGGAAAACAAGAACAATTGTGAATTATAGGAGACCTATTTTGCTTTTTTTTTTTTTTTTTTACACAATTACAAAAAAACTGTTCCCGGTGCTTTGGCACTTCTCTTACATTCGTCAGAAGCTGTGACGTGAGCCCCAGGAAGGTTAAAAATCATATTGCACAAATGTTTAATTTTTTTTTTAATGGATTTTGATAACACTCCCATATCTGATGAACGGCATTTCCTTGATTTGCCGCCATCAATAAATCAACAATAAAACTCTTTCTTTGCATTCATTTCCTGCTTACGTGCTGCTGGTGTCGTAAGTCTTGACAGGAGAGTACACGGACTCAGTGTTTAAGTCCAGATGTGTAAAAAACACAAACAGGTGAATATGGTCCTGAGTGTGCAAGTAATAGCATATTGATAACACTTGTGTTTTTCCCGATATTTTTAATGGGTATTTACAGTATACATAGTCACTATAACACCCTTCCGTTTGGTAAAAGCGAGCTACAGTCACAAATCCACTTCTCAGCTACTTAGTGCCACAAGAACATTAAAATAATACAGACACACACAATGAGCACACTCATACAGAAGCTGGCCACATCTCTCACCCAAACATTAACATGCGGGCTTGGTGATATTGCACTCTATCCCACCAAATAGGTTTCGATTTATAAAGTGTGAAAAGACAAAAAGTGTCTTTCAAAAAGTTTAAATGTGTTAAAAGACAGTGGCCTTTTTGCTTCTATTTGTGGAAGCAGGGCCAAAGGGAGTAGAAAACAAAGGTGCAATCATAAATGTCCTTTATTCGAAGCAGCATTTCATCATCAAGCCACCAAAATACATAGGTAAATGGATATAGTAGTGATGTGGTGCATGACATCGACATGATCACAAATAAACCTGTGCTGAAACTACAGCTCTTGCTTGCCTTTCAGCTTTCACATGATAGGGGTTTGCCCTGGTCAGCTGGATGTCATTGGTGGAAAAACTCGGTGTGAGGGCGGTTATTATGTTAATTACTTGGAGTGTTTCAAAACAGTGTATACATTTTTAGAAACAAGCAAGTATCGACAGATGTACCGGTGTTTTTTTTAATTAAATATTTGATGGGTAGGCAGGCACTACAGAGACCGAACTATTTGTAATTAAAGTCAATTTTCTGGAACATGTCAAGAACACCAGTCGTATTATGAGAATTCCTCTGTGGCAATTCAGTTGTTGAACATGCAGTAATGTCACTACTACATTGAATCAACATATTTAGGGACATTCATCTTAAACTTATGTTTTTGGGCCAAGAGATGTGAAGTGAAATTGTTGCATCAAATTCTTACGTTTACATACAAAGTCTGAAAACACTGCAAGCAATCAATCCCCCATGTCACAAACTCACAATGATGATCAGTGACGTTTGCTAGTTTTCCTTGAGTCAAGTAATAGCATATACAGTTCATTTGACAGACTACCTTAAAATCTTTAAGTGTATCAGATAGATCAAGGCTCCAACTTTGACTTGTTTGCGTGCTAAAAATGTGATAATGCAGTTTTCTCATCCTATTATGAACAATGGGACAGAGAGGGCCTAAATTATGACAGATCGCGAACGCATTACCTTGCATAAATGCACAACAGTTACTACTTTTGACTCGGAACTGTAACCAGACGACAAGATGAATACTGAAAACTGATCAGTTTACCTGCGCCTTGTGCGTTTTCCGCCCGCATTAAGAAAATAGCAATCGTCGCTAATGCGTTAGCCGCTTGGCTACACAATGGCAAAGAGCAGAGGGGCTTCACCTGCCAAACGAGGAGAGCTGCGTCGTCGCGTGATTGTCACAACAGCCACGAGGAGTCGCCACTGCGTGACATTAAAACGTTCATTTCGGAATTGTATTTGAATTCAGCATACAGTAACATATCTTTAAAACATGATATAAAACAGCACATGCGTTTTCCGGTATGAAATAACTTCCGGGTTGTCTAGACTGCCTTCAAAATGACAAGTGACGAAAGTGCCGCTGCTTCAAAACTATGAAACTTGTTCCAAAGTAGTTGTAGTACTTGCATTAAGTGGTTTAAAGCAACACGACTTGTGCTTCTCTAACACTATAGTTTGCTAAACGTATGAAATAATTTGTGAACAGTGCATTTGGATCTATATTAAGCTGGTTTGAGTAGCTTGGCATACTAACTAAGCATTTTACATTTGTTCGAGCTGTGTGTGGCAGTCACGAGGCATAGACATACAAACGTAAAGGCAGCGCTTACAATTAAATAACACGTTGATGTGGCCGCCATATTGGATGAGACAACTGCTTTCTAGTCAAATTAAGATCTCATGCAGCGAAAAAGCCACTCGCCACCTTTGACAGGTACAGCGGATGTAAAATGTGTCCATGCCATTTTTCGAATGCCAGGATTTGTGTTATATACAGTCTATAAAAAAGGACACACACGCACACGCACACACACACACACACAGTTTCTATCTATCTATCTATCTATCTATCTATCTATCTATCTATCTATCTATCTATCTATCTCACACACACACACACACAGTGTGTATCTATCTATCTATCTATCTATCTATCTATCTATCTATCTATCTATCTATCTATCTATCTATCTGTCTGTGTGTGTGTGTGTGTGTGTGTGTGTGCGCGCATAAATTATTTTCATATTTCCTAAGCGTGGTCTCCGTCCCCCTAGTTCCAAAACCCCATTTGCACGCCTGGTCCTTTACTAGGTCACAGATAGGCATAAAAAGACAATATCCACAATTTCTAATCTGATCAATGCACATATTTACTCTTTGTATCTATTCTAACCAATAGAAATATTTACTCTTTGTATGTTTAAGCTGTACAGTAGTGATGAACCAAAACAACATATGCTATTCTAAAGTTTGCATGAGTGTTCACAGCTATCAAAGCATGTCACACTGAAACTCCTACAAAAAACCTTCAAACACCTGGATAGTATTTAAAATCATAATGTTAAAAGTTCTATTTGTTCTTCTTTGTGCCATTTTCCGGATGTAGTACCTATTAGTGGGTGTGTGAATCGGAAAAAATACTTTTGCACTTACAAGTAGGTACTTGAATTATCACGCCCGCGACCCTCGACCCTACTGAGGATAATCGGTGAAGAAAATGAATGAACGGATGGATGGTTTGCAGACTAAACTGACACATACAATATGGCGATGGTCCTTACGTATGAGTCGTCCATGGAGGTATAGATTTGGCGAATTCGACGACGATACATTAGGCGCTCCGTACGAAACAGAGCACGACGACGAAGAAGAAGGAGGAAACGGAAATGCACAGACTATCGGTTGTTGTCGTTTGGTAGTTTAGCAGAGGATTTTTCTTGGCTAAATGAGTTATGCTATTTTTTGAGTCAATCTTTATAACGTTTTTTTCTGAGATCCATTCGCTTCAGTCATGCCACAGTTTAGCCGTTCGGCATCTCGGAGTCCCCGTCGCGTTCGAAACCGCTCTCGCTCCCACAGCCGTGAGAGGAGCATATCTCCAGCCAGCTTCGGGCCTAGACTACCGAGGCCTCGCGACCGGGAGCGCGAGCGACAGGAACGAGAACACCGACTAAGGGAGGCGAGGACCATCAAGCGGTTCCGAATCGGAAGCCCCGGACGCAGTCGGTCACGGTCCCGAGAAAGGTACTCTGGTGGAGGCCAAAATTACAACCGCTGGTCGGAGCAGAGAGACGCTTTGTGGAGGCACGGCGGCTCTCGAGACGATTTTTACCACGACCAGCAGAGAGACGATGCTCATAGACAGAGACAAGAAGAACTCATGGCAAGGTATACCCCTCCATACTCATTTACCCCGTTTAGCACTTGCTGTCAACACTAAACACGAAAGCATATGAGTCAACGTCTACGTTGTGTTGGCAGTAATGAGTCAAGGGACTTGAAAAAGTAGTGAAACAAAGTTAAGTGCAATGGAGGACTACCTAAAAAATAAAGTACAGCATTGCCATTTGTGACCTCTGTAATTTTGACCCAAGACTTGGTTCCATTTCATTTCATGCCTCTGTTAATTTAGGGTACATTGAATTTACTTTTTGAGAGAGAGAGATGCAGAGATTGAGATAAAAATATACAAATTGTCTGATTAATCTATTATCAGAATTTAACCTGCCAAATATCAGAATCAATTTGAGCATATAAACATCCATATTGGTTGGCCCCCTGTACCTACTCGATGTTATGGGTAGCTTTTCCCACCTTACCTTGTATGGAATCGACAAGTCTGATGAATCTTTGTAATCTAAAGAGTTGATATTCGATTCCTTTGTTTCTTCCTTTTAACAATTAAACTTATCCTTTTATGTGAATGTTTTCAGGCACTGCATTGTCCAGGAAAGCAGGTTCTAAAGACAAAAAATGTCATTAGGATTGAGTCCATCACAGGGAATCCGTGGTTGCTTAAAATGACCTTGAATTTTCATGTCAATGTTGTGCGTGTTGACACACTGACATATTCATGGTGATGCTTGTGATGTTTTTAGAGGGGATATCTACTTTTTAAGACAATGTACATCTGTGATGGTTTATTTGGGCAAGTCTTGTATATTTCCAAAACCAAAAAAAACAAAGCAGTCATTGTGGAAATTAACATGCCACTTGAGATGGAAATGTTTTCTGTTGACCAAATATTATTGAAAAACACTGATTTTGAACGTGATTTCACTCAAATATATTACTGTTTAGAGTTACAACTTGTCATAACTGACATTTGAACATTGCTCCTCTGTGGAGTGTCAAAATTACAAAACAATTATTTTTTTCAGGGACTCTTCAGGTTTTAAACCAGTCACTATACATTGCCTGAGTAGTTCACTTGTGTTTGGTCACGTCACTTGGCGTGTGGCTGGTTTTATGCCGTTTGCAACCTCGAAACCACATATGTCCAGATCAATGTGAAGCAATGGTCCTCTTTAGTAAGTAAGATGGGCGAACTCAAGCAGTTGTGTGTGTGTGTGTGTTTGTGTGTGTGTGTGTGTGTGTGTGTGTGTGTGTGTGTGTGTGTGTGTGTGTGATGTGTGCTTGTGTGACACAGGCGGCTGAAGGAGCGTGAGCGCATCGGCGAGCAAGGTTGTCCCGAAGTGTGGGGATATTCGCCAAGGGTGAAAGAAGAAGAGTAAGCCAAGCGCGAATCACCTTCTTTCTGCAATGTTTTCTCTCATTTAAATCATGTAGTCAGTCACAGAAAGTTTAAAATCACTTTTGTCTTGTTTCTCCACCAGCTCTGATGAATTCACACCCGTGGAAGATGACGGTAAAAATGTCAGCTCGGCATCCAACTCGGAAGGTATGTGTGGCGCGCGCGCACACACACGCACACTTATGAAAACAAATTAAAATGAAGAAATGACGTGTATTGTATATTTAGTTGTTTGGATCTGACTTGGAGAGTCGCACACTTTTCTATTTCTATAAATTCCCACAGGTCCGTGTACAAAATGGGGAAAAAGTAAAACACTGTCAATCCTTTTTAGTTTACAGTGTGTGGATGAAGTGCCGCCATAGGTGAGAATGAATGCTTTGACCGTTCATGGGGGCTTGTCTGCCCTTCGCAGTTTGGACTCGCTCAACAAGTAGCCACTCCCAACATCTACCACTAAATACCTGCAGTCGGGGCAAAGGGGCCGTAATAAGCATTGGTTCATTAGCATTTTTACAAGTTGGGACCACCCACTCAAAACAGGCTGAATTCAGTGAAGCTTGAAAAAGCAATTTTTTAAAATAATTCAGAGTTTTATGTTGTTTTTGATGAAAGCATGTCCCAGCCTACGGCACTTAGGAACTGTTTTAAATTGTGAAGGAAAAAGGCATAATAATTTCTTCTTTAAACAATTTTGCTTCCGTGCTTTTGTAGATGAAAAGAGGAAGAAAAAGAAGAAGAAGTCAAAGAAGAAAAAGCATAAGAAGCAGTCAGACAGTGGCATGGAGTCCGACGATGGTAACATTGAAATGCATTATTTGACATTATTATGACTCTTCAAGAGCTCTGCTTTTTTTGTTGTTTTTGTCTTTTGTTTTGTCATATGGTGTTTGTTGTCCTTCGTTGTGGACTTTTTTCAGCGTTTTGTCCACGACATTCGTCGAAGAAAAAGAAGAATCTGTGCTTGATGGTTGCGCCTTGGCAGCACGCGTGTACCAGCACTGATTTTGATGGGGAGAATGTCGGTGCTATTTGACTGTTGCCACTTGACAGGCCCAGGTCGCTTGTGTTTTTTGCGCCTGTAATGGACAGCATTTTTCAGAGCTCTGTTTTGTTCAGCGGAGACGTCGATGCTGTTGGACAGTCCGCGTTGGTGCGGCTTGATGGTTGGCTGCTGGAGCTGAGGATGAGAGAGGATGCTGTGTGCAGCTCAGATGCGTATTTGGACCTGAGAGTCGCTGCTTGGAATTGAAACAGATTTACATTGGACAGGAGGCGTGAACCAATCTCTTTTTTCGTCAATGGAAGCTCCAGCTTCTTGTTTACTTTCAAACTTGGGTTGGAACAGACGTGTGCACATTTTGAGCATGATGTCTGTGATCCACTGGTGAAAGGACACTGATTCTCTCCTCTTTCATCTACAACTGCTTGAATATGGTTATGATTGCGTGACTGTCCATGTCTTATGCGTTCTTTTATATTGCCGTATTTTGTCATTTAATGTTAACTGTTCTGTAAAGCGCTTTGTTACAGCTGCAGCTGTTGTGAAATCGCAATATCAATGAAGATTGTTTTTTTTTTTCCAGAGGACGGAGTAAAGAAAAAGAAGAGTAAGAAAAAGAAGAGCAAGAAGTATGTGTTTTTATAACTATTCATTTATCCACTCCAAAGAAAGATATTGAAACAACGCCACATTTGCTCTCAGGTCCAAGAAGTCCAAGAAGAAGAAGGTGAGGAAGAGCCGCAAGTCGTCGAGTGACTCCAGCAGTAGCGAGTCTGAGGAAGAGGATGCTGGCGAGGTGATGTGGGTTGAGAAAGGCTCCGCTGAAGATAACCTGGTGGGACCCGAAGCGCCGCTCACGCTCCTCTCTCAGGACGAGAGACCTTTAGAGTAAGTTTGTCATTTGAAGAGAAAGAATAGTCAGCTCAAGTTATGTTTGAGAAGAGAGACTATTAGGAGGAGGATCATTTGCGTCACCTCAAACAATACAACATTCTACATGCGCACCTCCATGCTAAGAAACGAAGAAGGCTTCACAGTTAGGGTCCCACATATTCAAGTTTTGTATCCTTTTTTGTTACAGTTTCGGTCACGCTCTGCTGCCGGGTGAAGGTGCGGCCATGGCGGAATACGTTAAAGCTGGAAAACGTATTCCAAGGAGAGGAGAAATTGGGCTGACGAGCAATGAGATCGCGGACTTTGAGAAGTCAGGCTACGTCATGAGCGGCAGCAGGTATACAGTTGGTCATCTTACGTCTTTATAGCCACATTCAGTGCTGCACGGAGACACTCAATTGGTATGAATGTCACCCCCGGCAGACATCGCCGCATGGAGGCCGTGCGTCTGCGAAAGGAAAACCAGATCTACAGTGCAGACGAGAAGAGAGCGTTGGCCTCCTTCAATCAGGAGGAAAGACGGAAAAGGGAGAGCAAGATCCTGTCCAGCTTCAAAGAGATGGTCTACAGGAAGACCAAAGGGAAAGAGGACAAGCCATGAGACAAACAGCTCAATTTTGAGCACGTTTGTAAGCTATTATGTAAATACCACTTTTTTTTCTTTTTTGTATGATAGATCAATTATTTACTTTCATTTACTCTTTGTAGTGTTGCAAATTTGTGAGTAAAATAATTTTTGCAACTACCAGTATTGAGTTATTTTGGGATTTTATTGTTCATCACATCCTAAATGCATCTGATCATTTAGTAGTTAATTATAAGTTAGTCAAAGAATAGGTCTTGTAAATTTGACATCTAGAAATGTACTTAAGGGGACTTAAAACAAAAAAGAAAAATACAGAGCTGCGCCGCAACATTTTTTAAAAAGAATTTGTGTAATTAATCTGTAAGATTAATTTAATATATTTTTTGTACAACCACAACCCAAAACTATCTCTCTCACACACACACACACACACACACACACACACACACACACACACACACACAAACAAACAAACACACACACACGTACAGTAATCCCTCGTTTATCGCGGGGGTTACGTTCCAAAAAGAACCAGTGATAAGTGAAATCCGTGAAGTAGTGAACTTTATTTTTTTACAGTTATTATACAATACTTAACTATATGTACAACGAAATCAAAGACCAAAACCTGTTTTCTGGCCTAATTACAAAAAACCCAAACGTTTTCAACAAATAACTACAATAGTTTTTGGAAATACTGTACTGTTGACACACGTCGCCGCGTTCTGATTTAAAGGGTTAAAAGCATTAAAAAACTGCACTAAAAAAAAAAAAAAAAGTGAAACAGTGAAGCTGCGGAAAGTGAACCGCGTTAGAGCGAGGGATCACTGTACACATATATTTATACATATGTGTATGTATAAAACATTCATCTATTTCTTTAAATTCACCTCAGTTACATGTTGAAAAGGTCATCTATCAGCTCTTTTGTGCTAAGGTCTATTATACTGTATATGAGAATTATCCAGTAGAGGAGCTTTCATTAATGCTTTTACAGCATCTTGTGGCATATATAGGACATTATAAATCGTTTGAGGGGCATTGATTACTTGCAGATTTTCTATATTCACGGCAAGGATCGTCCAGGGAACACTGAGTCACATTTGTATATAAAGACAAAAAATGTTTTTTTGCTGTCACATAGCGGCCCGGTGCTCAACTGATTAGTGCGTGGGCTTCACAGTGCAGAGGTGCAGGGTTCGATTCCGGCTCTGGCCTTCCAGTGTGGAGTTTGCATGTTCTCCAAGCGCCTGAGTGGGTCTTCTCTGGGTACTCCGGTTTCCTCCCACATTCCAAAAACATGCATGGCAGGTTAATGGAACACTCGAAATTGTCCCGAGATGTGAGTGTGAATTGTTTGTCGATGTGTGCCCTTCGATTGGCTGGCAACCAGTTCAGGGTGTACCCCGCCTACTGCCCGTAGACAGCTGGGATAGGCTTCAGCTTGCCCCGCGACCCTTGTGACGATAAGCGGATCAGAAAATGGATGGATGGATGTTGTCATACATAAATTCCTGCAGCACAAGTGTATTTAGAAAACGTAAAGTGTGACAAAAGTTATCATTATTTCACTGTATCGTAGGCATTGCACTTTTGGTGACATTATTATTTGGGTGTGTCGTTAGGTTGTTGTGTGATGTAAAATGTCAGCCTTAGCTTAAAGGTTGTGGAGATTTTCATTATTCCATGACAGTGTTAAAGAGCAATCTGGAAACCAACCAACTCTTAAACAGTCGATCAGATTTTAATTAGGAACATGACACAAATTAACGTGCAACAGAACTTTTTTTTATTAATATACAACAAATAACCTTCTTATTATTCTTGTCAGTGGATGTTCTCGAGTCCCTGTAGAGAAAATGAAAATTAATTGTAGAGCATCAAATAAAGTTATGATTACAGTGAGTTTGTCGTGGCTGGTAGCTTTGACTTGGTTATCCGACAAACGGACGTGAACTTTCACCTTGGAGTCAAAGTAGCGCCCCGTTCCTGACACCCGCCTGTCTCTCTCCATCAGGTACCATTGCCAGGGCACATGGGCGATTCTTTTCTCCTGCAGAAAAAAAAAATCTACACATAAATAGTGTAAAACAAGATGTTTGCACGTTTCTTCTTACTACCGCTACATTAGCACTTAGCATCCCCCATACACCACCAGCTCACCTTTCCACCGTTGGTGAATTTATGGATCTGTGCGGTGGCGACGCCGGGAATAATCAGACACGCCGCCATGATGCCGAGGCCGGGCAGAATTTCATACCACATGACAGCGACAGGCGTTCAATAGCCCGGAAATCAATAGATTTGAAGAACGCCGGATTGTCCCGTTTATTTTGATCCGGAGACTAACAAAATGGCGCTCCCTGCACAAGACCTTCCACTACCGGAAGTATAAACGACAGTTCTGCCTTAATTGTTCAAAATAAAACAATTAATGTTGGTAATCAGCGAGGAAAGAGTGTTTAATTAAATGTGCAGATTGTTTTTTTTCAACTTTTTAAAGTAATCAAAGAAACCATAGCTCACAGCAAAGTCCTAAACTTTCATGATATGCGACAAACTCACATCCTGAGCTTTTATTTAGAATCAACTTAAAGTTACCGTTAAGAGTGTATTTTTCCCACAGCGTCCCCTCTTGTTGCTTTTGCAGTACTACGCCAGAGGGGAGGTTGAATTTTGCGCATGCGTGCTTGGTTTCCTTCTCACTTTGGCGAAGTTAAAAAAAGTAAACAAGTCTTGGGAATGACACAAGTTGACACAAGTAGCCTTTTAAAAATATGAAGGAGGATAAAGAAAACAGTCGACCCAGGGAGAGGCGGGTAGAATTAATGTGCGAGGATTCAGACAGGACGGAGAAGTCGAAGGAAAAGAAGGAGACCATGACAAAGGTGAAACTCGAGCTAGGCTAGGCTAGCCCCACGAGTACAAGTTTGTAATTGTCGTAAGGGACACACTTTAATCTGTATTTTATTTAGCCATAATATTTCACCAATGTATACATGAGTGCTTATACATGTGTTTAGATATGTATGGAATTTCTTATCTTTTTAACACTAGTTAATTGATGCTATGTTCATTTTCCATGACTGCGTCACTATCTGAGGTTTAAGGTTCGAATCTTGACTGTGGTCTCCCTGTGTGGACTTTGCATGTTCACGTCGATTTTCTCCATTTTCCCCACACTTTACAAAGACATGCGTTTTAGGTTAATTGAAAACTCTAAATTGCCCATATGAGTGTTAATTGATGATTGTCTTTATGCACCCTGCGATTAAGCAGTCTAATATACTCAACCTGTCGCCCGAAATCAGCTGGGGATCATCAGCTAATATGGACTGGTAGTATACTATTGACAATGCACGAATGTTTGTTTTTTGTTTTTACGATTTATCAAATTAACATCGTGAACAGTCACCATATACGTTCTCTGCGCTGTGTACTAATGGAGGAATGTCACTCTACTTGTAGATTGTGATCAGAAGGCTGCCACCTAGTCTAACTAAAGAGGAGCTAGAGGAACAGCTGCAGCCTCTTCCTGAAGTGGACTACCTGGAGTTCTTCTCCAATGACACCAGGTGATCTTGTGACACCCTAAACTTGATTTTTGACCTAAATCTTTTTCTGTATGTAGCGTTGTGAAATTTAACAACCAAATAAATCTTTTGCGAGCTGCCTTTTCTCAAAAAAATGTGCCTCTAAGAGCGTTTTTCTGAATAGTACGACTAATTTATGTACAGTACATTCACTGCCCACATTACGACGTGGCTGGGTGAGAATCCGCCACTTTGAAGCGACAGCTGGACTACACTGAATCATTATTGCATAGAACTTGAGAAGTGTTTTGAATTGTGAAAGAGAATCATAAAATGTCTCCTTTAACAAACGTTTCTTCTCTCAGCCTGTACCCTCACCTCTTTGCGAGGGCTTACATCAACTTTAAGAACCAAGAGGATATCGTCCTGTTCAGGGATCGCTTCGATGGCTACGTGTTCATTGACAACAGAGGTATCAAAAGGTATCCTGATGTTGAAGTTTATATGAAAATGTCCACTCAAGGGGGTCTTTGCACATGTTTGTTGCCAAACAGGACAGGAGTACCCTGCTATTGTTGAGTTTGCACCTTTTCAAAAGACTTCCAAGAAAAGAAGCAAGAAAAAGGACGCCAAGTGTGGAACTATTAGTGACGGTCTGTATTTTCAGAAATGTAATTAGTATTGTACTCTTTTATTGATCCGCACTCTCCAAATCTTTTCTTACGTGTAATTAACATACAGAACTGCCAACTGACATTTTCAGCAAAAAATGCTATTTTTCAGGTGACAAGCAACCACTGACCCTCACAGTCACATCGTCACTACCTCTTACCTACACCAAAATCAGCCCAGTTGTACCACAACACCATCAGTGAAACACTAAAACGTTTGTGGTTCAGTGGGATCCACTGCATATGTTTAGTAATTTAAAATCAAAGGCAAAACAAAAAACACATTATATGCTTAACCTTTTACAATATTGTATATTCTTTATGTGTACATGTTCTTCAAGATCCTGATTACAAGAAGTTCTTAGACTATTACTCTGGAGACAATGAGAAGTTGACATCCACGCCTGAGACTCTGCTCGAAGAGATTGAAGCCAGGTCAAAGGAGCTCATAGGTAAGGAAACGTTATAGTCGGGCTGGACCATACCCATTGATTTTATCAATGAACTTGAATATGGATGTTTTTTTTCCTCATGTGCCCTGCTTCCTCAACATGGCTGCAAACAGAAATAAGATAGTTCCCAAAAACTGAGTCAATGTTACCTAGTTCTATTTAGTGACTTTATTTCACAACTTATGTGACTACATTTGAAAACATTTGAAAAGAGCGACTCAACTGCAGACATCAGTTTGGCAATTTTACAAACAAGAACCCAACGAGAGGCTATCACAGAGTCAGCTGCGCAGAACATTTCCAAACGCATAGTACGGAGCATGAAGCAGTGATAGAACCACATAGTTTTTTGATCCAAGGTTTGTGCATTAAAGCCAAGATCGCCTTGCCTCACCTTTACAACTACGCATGAGAAAAGATTGAGAGAAAGCACATGACAGGCAGTCATCTTCACATCTGTAATTTGTACTTCTATTTTTCTGTAGATGTTTTTTCAAGTAAATGCT